AGATTAGTTATACGACTCAATATCAGTAGAACCCCATTTATCCGGACACCTCAGTTATTTTTAAACTCCTAGGTTCTATACCTATTGGTACAATGTGTGATGTCCAATTCTATTACGTCCATCGATAATATTCACTATGGATGCATCGTTGAAAAGAAGTAATGGTTTACAATGTCTTCTATGCATTGCAATCGACCCATGGACAATGAAAACGCATTGATGTGCGGTTTATATAGTGAAACCTCGTTTATCCAGAACACCCGTTAATGCGGAAATAATTGCGTGAAGCCCATTTCTGGTGTCACTTGTTTGTCGAGATATTGAAATATTGCTAAAAGAGGCGTACTCTCTCTCTCTCCAAGGACAGGCCGGCTCGTCAGTATACTGTGTGTCAAGGGGGGTATCCATGTTAAAATTCAGTTGGCAAGCACTATAAGACGCCATTAATCCGGACGTGAAGAAGCACACGAACGCCCGCCCGCACGCACGCACGCACGCCCGCCCGCCCGCACGCACGCACGCACGCACGCACGCACGCGCACCAGTATACAGGTGCAAGGCTGGAAGGTTTGAATTTGGGATCAAACGCCGTTAACATTTTGGAAAATGGACGAGTGAATGAGTTGTGTTTTACGCCGCTTTAAACTGTGTTCCAATTATATCACGGTGTAATTGGGAGAGATTCTTTATTCAGTATTTTGGGCCATGTGGCCTAGAGTACAATTACAATTACAATAATTGCTGCGTCACTTGGTGTCAGGAAAATAAATACAAGTAGTCTTATTTCAAATTAAATACATTGAAGTATAAGGCCAAAGCCTTTACAATGTTGATATTTTTGGAGTTGAGTAGATTACATAAACTGTGATTATCACGGCGTGTCAGCTTAATCTGGGAGGAAAGCCCGAAGTGATGCAGTTCTCAGACGTTTACCACTTCGGTGAAACCCACGACAAACCTAGAAACAATCTGGACGAACCAGGATTCGAACCAACAATCATAGGTGAAAACTGGACGAGGTATGATACGGGTCCTTTGTCCCTCTATCAGTTTCAATGTGTGAAGCCCATTTCTTGTGTCCCCTGTAGTGATATTGCCAGAATATTGCTAAAAGCGGCATAAAGCCCCACTCACTCACTCACTCACAAACTTCAACTGAAACTGTCTTGAACACAAAGCCTTTCATTCAGACGTCATATATAATTTACGCATGTTTCTTTTGATTTGGTGTTTTTGTTTGCCCAGCACAGAGGTTTTTTGGTTTTTAAGAAACATTATACACAAACAAAACTAAAATAAGGTATCTGTTTTCGTGACATATGTACATACAATGTTTAATGTAATTACAATGTAATTAAGTGTGAGTGAATGTGTCCAACGCCACAATGTCATTACAAGTAGTTATTTCTCTCCGATTCGATACCTCTCTCGGTAAAGATCTGACAAACCCTCTATAACAGTAAACGTCAGGTGAACTTCTGAGGCTTCTAATTTCTCGGTCCGGCGATGCATTGCGAATCTGACTACCGTTTTCTCGGATACAAAACATAATGACCGCTATCCTGTATTTTACTCATTTCGGTTCGGTGACGTCTTTCAATCAACATCAGAATTTGGTCAGCTGTAGTTTCATTTCTCCTGCGGCATGGTATCTCAGTGGGCTAGCACTATAAATCGGCATCAGTCCGGACTAGTACAAGCAGCCACACACACACACACACACATGCATACACGTCGCTATATAAGTGCAATAATCTTGGACGCGACGTTAAACCCCATTTCACCTCACCTCACCTATAGCCTGAGATTTATGCTATTTCGTTGTTTAATAGGTAGTTCTTCATATTCTTTACAAACTACATTTAAATACAAATCTTTAAACTACCTGGCAAAAGAAAGTATATTTTTGAAAACTGAGTTTGACCAAAGAATTACGAACGTTATCAAAACGTTACTAGGCCCAAAACAGTTTGCAAAGAACAGGTCCAAAACACAACTATGATACCCGTATCAAACAAATCACCATCGAATAACCATTTCTAGTTTTTTTCTTTTTAAATCCACCATCAAACGTGGGGGTATACTTTCATTTTCCCAATTGTTTAGTTATTTTACTAATTCTTTGATGACAGTGTTTTAGAAAATATGCATACATTACTTTGTCAATTGACAAAATGACTGACTTATTCCCGATACGGCTTAAATTTTAAATCTCTGTTAAATTATCTGTTTACGAAGGCGGAGAGGGTAGTGTGTATATGTTGTTACTATGGCAACAGTTCTATTTATTACTCAGTGTGACAAAAAAACTAGAGTGCTGTGACTCATATATGGATTTATAATAAAAGACTTTGTGGTGTCACAAATTAATTGAAACAGCACTTCATCGTATCCTGGAAGTTGGTATCCATAAAAAAGTGTCATGCATTCATATATTCCATATTTCAAATTAAACAATCACCCATATATTGTCATCGCTAAATACAGCATCGTTCCCTCAGTAGGCGGTGCTTGCGATGGTTAAGTCTAATTACTGACTCTTCCCATGGCCGTAAGTCATTCATGCTGCTGACACCGAAGTGTGATAAACAGAAGTGTTGCATAGCAACCAGACAATGCACCTCAGGCGTCTGATCCAGCTATACACGTAGGTGCTAAACATGCTTGATATTACCCAAAAAATGAAATAGTGGAGACTGAGTGACCAAAAGGTCGTCCTGTGAGTCGATGTGAGTTTAGACCTTGCTGTATCCGTATCGGTACTAAGTCCTAATGGTCGAGTAACATGTTCGAGTTAACGAGGTTCGACTCCATGTCATATTATGAGATATATTTCTAAAGACGGACCACATTTTCTGATATAATTCAGCAATGCCGTCGTGATATCGATCCACTGGAAACGAGCACCAGATTACGAGTTTAGCCCAATTATCAGCTTCCTACGATATAATTTCAAGAGCATTTTGCATGGAGACTGGCGACATCTGCAAAACCAGATATATGTTTAATTAAAATTATGAGCCTCCATATGTTTTACTTAAACAGCTTTCAACAATGTATTTTTTGTGGCTGACGATGTATTTTTTTCAACAGTCATAAGCACAATTAATATTTTCATTTTCTGGTTGGATGGTTGGTTTGTTGTTTAACGCCGCACTCAGCAATATTCCAGCTATATGACGGCGGTCTGTAAATAATCGAGTCTGGACCAGACAATCCAGTGATTGATATCAGGAGCATCGATCCACGCAATTGGGACATGCATCAACCAAGTCAGCGAGCCTGACCACCCGATCCCGTTAGTCGCCTTTTACGACAAGCATAGTGGCAAGCATGGGTTGCTGAAGACCTATTCTACCCCGGATCTTCACAGGTCCATTTTCTGGAACAATCTAATTTTATCGATAACCGGAATATATATGTACCCACAGCATTTATTTTGGTAGAATATTGGCGAGGTCGACAGCAAACACGCCTCATAGACCCGTTCCACAAAGCTATCGTAGTGCTGCGACAGTCGTAAGTCTATGTTAAAGTATGGGAGTTACGATCGTCTTAGCGCTACGATCGCTTTGTGGAACGGGGCCCAGGTTGCTGGCAAGCAATGCTAAGACCTATCCCCATGGGTTGCACTGCTTGTTATGAAATACTGTTATACGGAATAATTAATGCCAGAGTGCCCAGTTATACATGCCACATGCCAGGGATTTGACTGATCCTTCTTAACAAGACGTGTATGGATTGGGGGGCAGGTGTCTGGTGAAATTGATTGGTTGGTTGGTTGGACAAATGAAATTGACTTCACACACTGTAGGTATAAGGGAATCGAACTCATAAGGGGCGACCCCATTATCCACAGAGCTACATATCACTCTACAAGTCTTGTCTGAAAGGACTGTACATCACTTGTTGATAGATATGAGTGTAGATATATATGCGGTATATATTGTGCAATGCGTCTTGAGTCCAGATTTAGTTCAAACCATCAGCAGCACACGTGATATACTTCTACCGTTTATTATATCCATATTTTAAAGATCATATTAATTCATCATCCCAAATAAGTATGGTGGACATTGAAAGAATAAGTGAGTGAGTGAGTGAGTGAGTGAGGTTTTTCGTCGCTTTTAGCAACATTCCAGCAATATCATGGCGGGGGACACCAGAAATGGGCTTCACACATTGTACCCATGAACTCGAACCCGGGTCCTCGGCGTGACGAGCGAACGCTTTAACCACTAGGCTACCCGACCGCCCCAGGACATTGAAAGACGGGGCCACTGACATAAATCAGGGGCGGTGGGGTAGCCTTGTCGTCAACGCTTTCGTCCTAAGACCAGGGTTCGATTCTCTACAGGTGTACAATGTGTCGGTAAAATGCGTGAAGCCCATTTCTGGTGTTCCCCGTCATGATATTGCTCGAACATTTTATAAAGCTGCGTAAAACCATACTCACACATAAATAAATAAATCAACCGCCGACGTTTCACAAAGTAGTTGCCCGGAATGGGTTTCCTGATTAATGAGATTTCACTGTATTCTAAATATTGAATAACTCAGCCATGTTAGGTGTGAAGTTGAGTGTTTGACTAGAGCGAGGCGCTTTGAAATCTTTGTATCCTTCCAAATGTAATAATATAAATGAAAGTCAGTCCGTCCAACAAAACAACATGAATCAATTCCCAAAGAGAACAGATTTACACATGCAATACAAACATCCCATAATATTCAATAATGCCAGCGCTATCGCTAATCAAAGCTAACCGACTGAATGACAAAACAATGTAAACATATTCTAAGGTTTATTTAAAACCCAGCATCATCAACAACAACACATCATCGACAGCCACATCACATTATAGCCAAGTCAAGCGTCTCAGTGCATGCATACATGAATATATCCACAAAATTGAATGATATTGTTACGCCTCGGGTCTATTAATACTGACCAAACATTCTCATCGTGTAATCAGAAGACATATTACCATGACAACCACCCAAGCTCTATGACAACCATAAATAGACGAATGACCAGATATTTCAACATCGTTGACGTGGGCGCCATCGTGTTGACAACTTTTTCAGAGGTAGTTGATATAATTTACAAGTGCCAGGCCAGTTGTGTTGGTTTATGCATAAACAACGTTCATTAAACTATGTGAACACTCAATGGAAGCACGGATGTGATAAACCGTGGCACAATGACCCAACGGACTCCTAAACCTGAATAAGCTCAGAGGGACAACCATATTGACTCAAATCAAAGGAATCGATCGTAGTCTGTACGTTGTCATCGGGTTTACAGCAAGTTTAGGTCATTTCGCTGTGCTAGGCAAGCTTGTTGGCCGGTAATCTCTACTAGAAAGAATCTGATCAATATTCCCATCGTTACTCACGGCGGTCGTCTGTACCCCACACTAGCAGACGACACACCTGTCACTGCGCCGCCATCTTGGATCCGGTGAAACAACTTCAGAGAGATGTTGTCAAGCTTGGAGGATGTGTAGACGAATGAGGAAAGGAGGTAGGATAATATTTTGTTGTATTTTAAAGAATTCATTCCGTTTTGTCAGTATATGCATTGTGACTTCTCCGTCATGACATGTCGACAACTGAGTTGTATATATTTGATGTCAACTGCGCATTTACAACATTTGGTTTTATTGATGCTTGATATTGATATCAGCAAGATGTCAATGCAGTGGACTCATTATTCTTAATAACTGTTGACATAGTTACATTGTAATTTTAATGGATATTATTCACGTGTAAGGGATGCACAATGTCCCAGGAGAAATAATTATATCAGTACAGGTAGAATGTTATTTATAAAATAAAGGAAACTTATTAAGCTGGACCTCATTATTGTTTTCGATACTTTTTCAACAATGCGTGTCCCTTTTATTCATTTTTGTTAAAACAGTGAACTCTGAGACCTCCTTGTTGTCGTGATCGTCCATATATGGATGACTGTGCAAAAGGACTCTAAACGTTTGAGTAACAATCCACGCCAACAAGGCACGTTAAAAATGCAATCCACTAAGTCACAGAACAAACCACCCGATCCCCTTTTTGTCGATTGTTACGACAAGCGAAGATTACTAGGGAGCAATAGCACTCGGAATCCCGACGGGTTATAATCCTTTAAGAGGATCCAGGATTTGGAAAAAATATGAATGCATGCTACACACAAGTTATGAATCCAACAAATTTAGTTTACTTGTAAGGTGTGTCCGGTAAAGGTGGAGTTCAGCCATCAACACCAACAGCCACACACACACACACACACACACACACACACACACACACACACACACACACACCCTCCCCCAACAATCATTCATACTAACATTATATATCGACTATTGTCTTGGTATTAATTGATTTATCGTTTCAAAAAGATTTACAATCTCGGATCGACCATTACAAAATTGGGTCACCGTTTTCAAAAGAACATCACTGATATGCAAAGGAAAATATATATGAAACCTTATTTTTTCTTCCCGAAATATTATAAAAAAACGCACACATGGAATAAAGGTGACGGATCATAATGTATTCAAGCTCTATCCTTTTATGGTGATCCCATGTAAAAAAAACATGTCTGATTATTTTGCAATTGTATATACAAATACATTGTAATTTACCATCATGCAAAAAATCATACATAAAGTTCTTTTTTTTAAATTCGGAAGATACTGATACCATATGCTGTACATCAACCAACAGTGCATGGAGTGCGTTTCCAGTAGAAAATGCGTATTTTCTATTGTCTCCTCCGGTCCATTCGCACCGGTGTCTGACCCACTGATTTGTCACTAATCCCCTGCAGGGACGTCGAATTTTCCTGGAAAGACGTCATGCACGTGGCTTGCTTAATCCGGATTAAGAGGGGGCCGTCTTCAAACCAAGGAGTAATTCAAACAGCAATATTTAAGCGGATTAAGCATCAAAGGATACGGCACTGGGACTTCATGTGAATAATTTTGGTTTTGAGGTCGACGTCATGCGACTACCCAGTCCTCACCGCCGTCCGAATAGTTACAGTCTGTTCCTTGACTAGTCCCAGTTACGTCACACTGGTCATCAACTTGACCACCTGAAGGCGATAATTACATGCTTCACACTCACGCATGAGGTACATTCAAAAGGTTGGCCTTGATTTTGAATCAGGTTAATTGGACGCGGGTGGAGCGTTATATATCTTAATAAGTTGGTCGGGTATTATAACCTTGTATTTGGCCAAACTCTAAGACAGAACCAGATGTGTGCAACTGCCTGTCGGGCAACGCATTGTTTTCGTTGGGTATTCGTGAACACCTGGTGACATTTCCAGTGAACCTTTCGCATAGTTTTCACCACTACATTGACTTTTACACCCATGGAATCTGTGTTTCTGGTTAATCTAGACTGATGTTCTCTTGTGTTGGTTTTTATATTTAAGACAGGAATGGAGTAAGGTGTTTGGTTTTATTAAATCAATGCATCTTTCGAATTCGGGACATAAACTGATAACGTTGTCACTCAAGACAACATGCACTTGCTGTCATTATTGATGTTGATATATGTCTCGAATAATAATAATGATAATTATAATAAAGTTCTGGGTGGGTTTGACCAGACAGCTAGGCATTCCTGGGAGGAGTCTCATTCGCTGTCTGGGTTACGTGCAGAGGGAGCAAGGGCCCTGAGCTGATGATGAGCCTAACCAGTCTGACTGTGTCAGGATCACCCAAACCCTCTTTGCTGCATGTTCTATTTTAATCTATTTTAACAATAACAACACAGCTAATAATAAATCCTCATTTATAATTGTCTGTAACTTACTTTACAGCCATATTTCCATATTCATGGTTGTTTCAACTTCCATGTACACAATGTGGAGCTTTGGAAGAAAAGGTAGAGAATGGTTCATGTATTTGCGTGAACGTGTTGCAGTTATTACTACTGCTACCATGACAAATACAAGCCAAGCCTGATAACAGCCCCAATACACCTCGGAACGTATGATCACAACACGGCGTCCTTTGATTTCCATGGAAACACATCTGTCTGTGTTGCCATGCAGGTGTTACGTGCGGTATAATGATATAAATTCCTGATCGACATTGACAGTTTTTGGTTGGTTGATTTGTTGTTTAACGCCGCATTCAGCAATATTCCAGCCATATGACAGCGGTCTGTAAATAATCGAGTCTGGACCAGACAATCCAGTGATTAATATCATGAACATCGATCCGCGCAATTGAGATCGATGACATGCATCAACCAAGTCAGCGAGCCTGACCACCCGATCCCGTTAGTCGCCTTTTACCACAAGCATAGTCACCTTTTACGGAAAGCATGGGTTGCTGAAGACCTATTCTACCCCGGAATCTTCACGGGTCCGAGGTGATGCAGGTCTTGGACGATTATTCATTGTGCTGACAAAATGAGGGCGAATTTTGGATTCGAACCCATGATAATAGGTTTCTGGCACGCCAAAGGGACGAAACTCTGCACAGCGACTTATTACATTTTCTAAGAACATGTACATGTTTGAACTGTTCCATGGTAATTGTTATATTTCCTATAAATGCATCCCTCTGGTAATTTGCATGATATTGATGAATCAGTCTTTGAGACAATCTAGAGGAGTAAGTGAGTGAGTTTGGTTTAACGCCGCTTTTAACAGTATTCCAGTTATATCACGGCGTGTCAGCTTAATGTGGGAGGAAAGCCCGAAGTGATGCAGGTCTCAGACGTTACCACCTCGGTGAAACCCACGAGCGCGAGTATGGTGCTGACAAACCTAGAAACATAATCGGGGCGAACCGGGATGCGAACCCACAATCATAGGTTTCTGGCGTGCCCAAGGGACGCAACTCTGCACAGCGAATTGCGGCGCCTTAGACGACTTGGCCACCCGTGCCCCCCAATCTAGAGGAACAGTGTTCGTACCAACATGTCGGCAGGCGTAGGTGGAATGTTGATATTTATCGATATGTAATATTTTTGCAAAAGCTGCAATTCGGACACATGGAAATAGTCGGACCACTAGAATCGCTTTGTAGAACTGGGGCCCTGATTCACACGCGCGCGCACGCACGCACGCACGCACGCACACGCACCTCCCGTCATAACCCCTCTTTATTTCCCCTAAATCAACCAGACGCAGGTCCGATCTCCCATAACACTACTGTTAAAAACAACAAGGATTGTAGTGAACCCGACAGAGCCAGGCCATATTCTCCTTTCTCACCTCTAACCATACCATAACAGTAAACTTCCCTTCTTTACCTCAAGACGCTTAAATTTTCCTTCCCACGGTTGGTTGGTTGGTTGGTTTGTTGTTTAACGCATCACTCAGCAATATTCCAGCTATATGACGGCGGTCTGTAAATAATCGAGTCTGGACCAGACAATCCAGTGATTAATATCATGAGCATTGGTCCACGCAATTGGGATCGATGACATGCATCAACCAAGTCAGCGAGTCTGACCACCCGATCCCGTTAGTCGCCTTTTACGACAAGCATAGTCACCTTTTACGGCAAGCATGGGTTGCTGAAGACCTATTCTAACCCGGAATCTCCACGAGTCTCTTCTCACGGACAACCAGGTTTAAATTCTAAAATCTCTGGCCACCTTATCTACGCTTATTTTGAGGGAGTCAGGCCGATTTTTTTATTATCAAACACAACCACACCTAACCTTCCTTCGCAATTCTTTCCCTACCATAATAAATCTTTCTCCAACACACCTAAGCCCCTTGTTATTCCTTTCTAGCATGTCCTTAACAGGATCCACCTCCGTTGATATGTATCTTGTATAGCAATCGATTCCCCAAGACATGTTAGCCGTGATTGAAGCTAGAAACGAAGGGTAATTACCGGTCGTTCCAAGACGCTTCGAGTATCGAAGTATTGATTTTCACCTTGTGGTATATTTAAATATATATACACAATCACAAAGTCATACTTAAGAAAAAAATGTGAAACCGATTCGGGCATAACAATATTGTTTAAAGCTGTTAATAACACGGGCTATCGTACCAGTAACCAAAGCTTGGCCACCTCTCTGGGGATCATGGGGACTTATGGTGCCTGAGCTTCCTGCACGATACCCTAGCACAATCACAATACTAGCCAATATTAAAGAATGCTCAGCAGTGAGTTGGACCCGTGAAGATCCGGGGTAGAATAGGTCTTCAGCAACCCATGCTTGCCGTAAAAGGCGTCTATGCTTGTCGTAAAAGGCGACTAACGGGATCGGGTGGTCAGGCTCGCTGACTTGGTTGATGCATGTCAGCGATCCCAATTGCGTGGATCGATGCTCATGATATCAATCACTGGATTATCTGGTCCAGACTCGATTATTTACAGACCGCCGTCATATAGCTGGAATATTGCTGAATGCGGCGTTAAACACCAAGCCAACCAACCAACTTAAAACACTGGTTGATGATAGTCGATTATGTTTGTTTGTTTGTTGTTTTAGGATCAGATTCCCGTTCACACGGGGAAAAAGATCTTTCAAATTTAC